GCAACTCCTGAATTTAATCGGCTTATATGCAAAGGTTTGGAGGGGGAGGGTCTGTTCATTTTTCTGGCTGCAGAGGAACCTGATAAGCCAAAGGAAGGTCAAATTATGATACAAGGTCCTGAGGAACATTGTAATGCACTCGGTCCGCAGTGAGTATTAAAAATATCGGAATTATTCAGTTGTCAAGTCTTTCAGTCCGAGCGAATTAGAAGCAAGATATTTCAAAAGTACTCTATAATCTTCATCTACGAAATTGTAGTAAACAAGAACTGTAAGCTGTGTTAGAAGCCGGTTTTATAGCAACTGGTTTTTTTTTATAATATCAAGAGACAGGACGGACAAGTCGTGCGCCTATGGTAAGCTACACGCCTGTCCATAATAGTTTCATTGCTTCTCAGAATTTTATATCACAAAAATTTGAGGGGCACTGCCACTGCACCTGTCACTCGGAGACGTAAGTTGACAAGTCTCATGTGCCTGTAATTTCACCAGCACCCTTCAAAACCGGAACACATTAATGCTGCAGAAATATGTAAGTTGACAGTGCTTCCCTGGACTCTTTCACAAAGAGCTCTACTGCTGCTGGTTTCTTATCTGTTCTTATAAAATTATTTGCCGCTCCTTCCTTGAGAGATAGATGTCGGCTTACATAACCAGATTAAATAAAAAAATAAATAAATAAATAAAATACTTTTATCTCGGACAAGTTCCATATTTTGTTAGTAATAATAATAATAGAAAAAGAGCTTATAAACTAGTGTTAGTAAATATTTGTACATCATCAATTGGTTAAATCACCCTCCTTACGAAGCATTGCCACATGGGAGAGGTGATCCTACCAGCTACAGTTTGTAGGATGCTGTTGGGGCTGTCCGTGGGTATTAAGAGTGTAATAAAAATACAACAGTAAAAGAGGGTGATTGAAAAGAACTGATGCGAGTGGATGAAGGTCCACAAAGTCATACCCTTTTTTGAAGACGGGCATAATGTGTATAAGTACAGGGAATTATTATTTTTTTAATCTAGTTTTAAGAAGCCTGAAACGTTCAGGCGTTTATGTCGGTCTCGTAATGTATGTATACATATAAATAAGTATCGTATTTTATCTGTCACTACTCCCATGTGAGCTATTGCTCCTCATCAGAAAGCAAGTCCTCACTTAGGAGTACAGAGCTTCAGCACTCTTTGTCAACGGGTTGCTCAGCATTAAATTTAGCTCTCCCACCTGACCAATGTCCTTCAATTGATATTATGGGGTCGACAGCCCGCATACCGATCACATTCCATTAAATGAAGCATGTCCTCTCAACTTGCTACAGAATTGGCATTGATGGAATTCTGCCCTTCTCATGAAATAGTAAAACTTATTTAATGGAATGTGACGAGAACGCAGTCTAAGAGCAATTATTAACAGTGACTTGGATAGTCTACCCTCCTCGAACCAGGGCTTTCTTGGAGGACGCAATTGGATAGTTTTGTACCATATACCCCTTGTCACAGATATCTCATCATAGCTCTTAGCCCATTGATCCATATTTAGGTCCCTTACAAATGGGATAAGTTCTGTGGCATACCTGATGGTTCCAATGGCTCAGAAATAGCCTCCCTTGCTAGTATGTCTGCTATTTCGTTTCCTAGAAGTCCGATATGTGATGCTATCCATTGAAGTATTATGTTAATATTATTGGACAATAGGTTAGTCATTAATTTTAATGCCTCATATGCTATCGGCATGCCTCGACCTCCAAAGACACATCGAACCTAGTGCTGAAGTGCACTTTTAGAGTCAGTGAGAATAATGATTTTGTTTGAAACCACAGAACTAAGAAAGGATAATGCTCCCATTGCTACATTGTAAAATGCAATAGACCATGTTATTTTCTCCTGTTTCAGGATTACGGATCTCTTAAAAGGCAAAGGTGCGTTCAAAAACGGCAAATTTCAAGGCAAAGCAGGAGATCTTGGCGCCATAAATAAGTGCAAAAAACTTGTCGAGGATTATTTTAATAACATAAATACATAAACTGTATTAACACATCAAACACTTTGTTTAATTTCAACGATAAATGCGAATAAATTATATAGAATGTGAATTGAACACTTACTAGTTTGTCATTAGTTCTTTTGCTGCTAAGTAAATAATATTTTTACTAAATTGCACATACTGTGTAATAACAATGACTGGTTTTAACTAACATGTCGACCTTATTCCCTGTTCTTAAAAATGTAAAGAAATCACATTCACACCATATGCCGACAACCACCAAAATATTTTACCTTACAATATCTATGAATACTTATATTACCTATATTTTGCTATATGCGATAACACAAAAGTAAGCTTGATTTGAGTTTTACTCTGTCAATATTGGTACACCCATAAAATCACAGACTATGATAAATTGATAGAGAATTTATTCCCACTACAGATGTGATAGTTCCCGTCTTGAGTGAACTTGCAGCACCATTAGACAAATTCTTCATGCATGTTGCTGTGTCAGTGCAGTTTTATGGCCAATATTGTCATTTTTATACCATTTTCTGAGTCGGTATCAGTAACTAGGTATGGTATGGAAAAATTCTGTTCACGTTGCACTGTCTGGTGCTTTTACGAAATGTAGTCCTTGTTATAAACAAATCAAACTTACTTGTGTCCCTTAAAGTCCGTAAATTACCGAAAGGCCTTGTCTTTAGTACAATCATCAGTGCAATTAGAGGCATTAATGCTTGCTATGAGCTTCTCAATGCCTAGATTGGTCCAGTCTTGTGAGAGATCATCCAGGTAGTTGTCAAAATCCACCAGATCCCTTTGGACGCTGCTTTGGAGTAGGTGTGAAACTGTTTCCAATACATATGGTGATTCTGAAATTTGTAACTAGCGTCATTTTTATTGTATCCACCTATAATTCTTTTTGGTAATAGCCCAGTACTTACGGAACACGACTTTGTCAGAGTCCTTGGGTTTCCATTTCCCCTCACTGTACTTGTGCAGCTTGATGGCTGGGGAGTCCATATTCTGGACTACTTTTTTGTTGTCCACCTGGTTATAAATAATGTCAGATTATAAAATATTTCATTTAATCAGTAACTACCTGTTCTTTTGTACACAGGAACAAGAGAAAATGGATTGACCTATAGATTGTCCAATTAGTATTATTTCTAGTTTTGTACAATGTCATTTAGTAGTAGTTAAAGAGAAGTTCTCTCTCTCTTTAATAATTATGTTTGAAGAATTATTATTTGTTACTTGGTGTGACTTGATACTCGAATAACACGCATTTATTTTAAATATTTCTTGCATTTTTATTGCATTGCTTGCAGGTTTACATCTCATAGCCATATAAACACTTAAAGCATTACAATTTTCTTAGCTTCCATTGTTTATTTGCTCCTTTAGTTAGAGTGTATACCTACGAGAGTAGAAGTGAGTTTCAAATGTCTATAGAGAGAACTTAAAACTTCATAGCAGGTTGGACATGTGCAAATGCACAATGGTGTCATCAATGTTGTAGTGCCTATTTTGTGTGTAGTGGCTCGAGAGCCCTTGGACATGCTGAATCATACTGCAACATGGCTGTGAACTTTGGGTAGGATTCTGTGGTAATATATGGATGATAGGATGATACATCCTAGCGATATGTTACTTTTGAGGTTTAGATACGGCTAGACTGTTCTGTAAGTACAAAAGGAGTTAAATGCCACCTTACCACAACAAAAATAGCAGAAGGGAAGTACTCCACAATCTTCTCAGCAATCCTCTGCCCTGGGCATTTCTCCACTGTATTCTCTCTAAAGTTTTCACTGGCTGCATAGTAGCCTGCGATAATGCGGTTATCAGCTTGTGCTGCTGCTTCTATCTGAGACAATAAATCATGTACTTGATGAAAAACTCTATTGGATTTTATTCACTGCAATACTCGCTAAGATGAAGACTCGTAACAAATAGCTTGAAGTGGCACTGCAACTGTTATGGACAGGCGTGTAGCTTACCATCAGCTCCACATCATGTTCGTCCATTCACTTGATATTATAAAAATAAAATTTAAAAAATAGCAATTTCAAACAGTGAGTCTCAAGTACTCAAATTGACAAATTATAATTAAGTATATTGTAATATTAAGTTAAGAAATATACCCACTAAAATACAAAACAAGGCATTGCGATTTCATGGAGTTTTAATAAATTTGTAACGCATCAGAAATATTTTTTTAAATGCCTTGAATGATAACCTGTATGATTTCACTTCATTTGTGACATAGTTCTTATCTCACCTGGGTTAACGCTATTTCTGCCATGGGTGATAGGTTGTGGCTGTGATGGAACAGGGGGATGGTATCCACAATGTCCAGATCCTGGTTTTTAGAGCCACTTCGTGTCTTAGACCCATCGGCCAAGAGCACGCCATTTACAGCACAATGCGGGTATTTCGCCGCGTGCAAAATTATTTTAGCGTACGCTACTGTTTCCATTGAAACTTCACCCATGTTTGCTACAAAACGATTTACAATTAACGTGAGAATAAAAGAAGAATTGAAACTAAAGCCCTCTGTCACTACTTGATCAGCACGATTTGACGTTTTCTAATTTGTGGATTTGACGTTTGTAATTGAGTTCCATAAGCTTTTCACATAAAAATCTTGTAGTGTAGACGAAGATAGTTGAATAGAGCATGTATTTGGTTAGAGCGAGAGCAGCGAGACCGCATCTTCTAAAAGAGGGTGGTATTACTAAATATATACTAGTGGAACGTAAAAGTATCATATACAATATATTTTTCATTAAAATTACCGGTTTCTCATGTCAACACTCCCTTCATCTGTCAGTTTGACACACTGACAGCTACTGAGAGAATTTGTAAATAATTGTTTAAATATTGTAAAACCAGCAAAATCAAAGAATACTTCGACCCAGTGTATTTGTGCAATGGATAAATATGACACGTCTCAGCTTACAGAGTTCCCTCGTTTCGAGCCTGAGTCCACGCAAAGTGGGGTGTCCACGTTCTTCAATAAACTGTGGAAATTCCCAATATTTTCTCCCAATGATTCGTCAGATAACTCGCAAAACAAAACGTTGGAAGATAGACAAAACGCCCCTCAATCCGACGAGCAGGGTAAACAGGAATATGACGACGTGAAGACTGAAACAGCAAGCTACGCGGTTGAGTTCGAAGGTCGTAGCTTGCCAAACGTTTTGAAAAGAATTAGTAGCCTTGTAGCCCTGGGATCTGGTGTAAGTGAACGCAACGAGTGTTAAACAATAGACACATATTAACATTATTACAGTTACACAAATTTGCTTTTTATTTTTTGTCCTACAATTGTACAAACTTATAATTAAATGAATACTGTAATTTGCAGAGTGGAACGCGTTACGCAGACACCGAGCTCGCGCGCTACTGGATGCCGGACGACATATCGCGGGAGTGCTACGAATGCGCTACGAGGTTCAGTGCTTTGCGGCGTCGGCACCACTGCAGAGTGTGTGGACAGATATTTTGCTCTCGTTGTTGTAGTCAACGTGTGCCAGGTTTGATATTGTGTTCTAGATTTCTACAGCCCATTATAACTAAGGATATTGGCCGACTTTAGGCAACGTTTAAATCTATTTCTAATAGCATAAATAGGTTTTTGTAGTAGGGTTTGGTAGCAGACAAACTGTTCTATATAAAAGAATGCTATTCTTTTAATACCTAAGACTAAAGTTAATTATCTACATAAATACTACAGTTTTATGCATGGATGATACTAGAATGATACTATCACAAAATGATACTTTCCAAAATTAATATTACACACACACACACACACACACACACACACATTTAGAATGGAAGTCTTCAATGATATTTTTCCAATTTTCCAACACTACTAACAATGAACTCGGCCACATGACTGGTACTCTTTATTGGATGATTAATTTCACAGTGTATAAGAATTTCTTTCTATTTTTAAATTCTACATTGTTGTATTTTGTATTTATTTTCTTTGTATAGTGTTTTGGTTTATAATGACTATTAATGTTTAGTGAATCATGTCCTTTGACATTGTAGTTTAAATTGTAATATTGTCTTTGTTAATATGAAATAAATGATTCCACAAATGAGGTAACCGTGGATTGCTTACTTGGTACTTGGTACTTGGTGCAACGGGCTGGTATCCGCAACTCGACGACAAAGCGCCTATTTTGCGTGTGATGGGTGCAGGGTCCTACTTGTGCCACCCAAGCTCCTTTAGGAATCTCAGCAGCCTCCTGTAGATTGCTTAATTTTTGTGTGTTCAAATTATAAATCATGTTTTCCAGGTCAAATCTTTGGATGTGCTGGTGGTCTCAGAGTGTGCAACTACTGCTGTAATGTTGTGCTGAGCTATTTAAAGGAGAATGACCTCGCTGGTGAAATGTCTACTGACCTCAGAACTCTGCAAGAAAACTTACAAGTAAGAGACAACAAAAAATTATATATTCTAAATTTCAATTAAATTTAATTACTTAAGTATTAATCATACATAGGTACTTAATAATGTCAAATTGTCTTAATGTTTTAAATCTAAATATGTATATATAAACATAGTTAAAAGCAACAATCGGCAGTTGCTGAAAAGTAAAAATAACATTTCAAGAGGTTTTGTATTGTTTTTGTACTGCAGAGAACTGCTTCGTCGTAAACGTATTCAGTTCAAGACAGGCGCAGGTCGTTTACAAGACTGTTTTTACGCCTGTGTCGTCCGTCACGTCCTGACACCTGCATTTGACATTCCTGAGTTCTGAGCCGACTTCTTAGAGCTTTACGCATAGAGCACGACGCGTTGCGGTGTCATTGTACAATTGATGACCCCCGTCTAACTAATTTGATGATGTGTTGACCTTGGCCTCCAGATATATCGGCGATACATTACATCAAATTGCTGGTTGCAGTTATGTATAAGAATCCGTAACTTGAAAGGTTCTTTGCATTTTCAGAGCAAGTTTCCAGAGAACAAATGCCAGCAATCGAAAAGCCGGGACAACTTTGTGTTCGCCCGTGACCAAGAAGAACGCTGCGAGACGCGTACCTCACCCAAGGAAGCCTTACAGGATATCTTCAGGCAGCTGTCTTTCACGTTGCCAACTCAGCAACATAGGTATGTATCTACCCTCTCAGCTGCGCCTGCCAATCTGAATCTGCCAATGTGAAGGCATGAAGCCGAAAGATCTTTAATAAATATTACAGATGTCAGATTGTTAGTTCTATGGTGGCTATGAATTGTTTCCAAAGAATTGCCCATAATATGCCAGCAATCAGTAAAGAGTTTTACTTAATAAATCTATTATATATCAATAACTCGGACGTAAGCATGGTACCTGTAAAGAATCTGAAACGTTGGTTTGTTTGGAAAAACAAATATATGCGATTTATGCTATTTTTAACTAATTATAACAACCAGTCCTAATAGAAAAAAATCAATTTAAATTGTGCTTCTCACGCCTTTATCCCTGTAACAAAAACACCTATAATTGAAATATATATATAAGAAGAATACTACATGTAATATCTAAAATAATCATATAACATGTGTTCTGTTGGTTTACCAAATAAAAAAAACCTAACTTGGGCTTGTTAGGGATTCTGCGAAACTACCGAGTAAACGGTGGCCAGATAGATTGCTGTGTTTAAAACTAATGTGCATTACGCGGCTGAATTTTGTTCGATTGCGCCATGTAAATACGTGTAAAAAGACAACGCTCTATAGCGCTTACAATGTACTGCTGTCCACTAACTAAAACGAGGCTAAGTAACAAATGGTCAAATATCCGTTTTAAATAGCAAAAGATAGAGCACAAATTTCTCTTTTAAAAACAGTTAAAATTAGTTAACGTATTCGACTTATTGGAACTTACCCTAACGATGCATAGCTGAAATAATAACACTATAGAAACAATAACAATTTCAGCATTCTAAAACTAGGTTATGGTTTTTGTACGATATCTCAAAAAAATATTTTGTCACTTAATCGCGGTTTAGTTAGTAGACGATAGATTTAAACTGGCCACGCGCGTTCGTTATTTAGCGGCGTAATTTTCGCAAAATAGTCACAAGAGATAGTAGATTGCATTCTTTGGGTTCTCTGGTTAAAATGGGTGTTCCGCTGGGCTCAATACTTGGACCTTTCTTATTTCTCTTTTATATTAATGATCAGCCATTCTTTGTTAAGGACCATTGCGAAATAGTATTGTTTGCTGACACATCCTTGATTTTTAAAACAGACAGACATAACGTTAACTATGACCATATTAATGATACCCTCTTTAAGATAGTTTATTGGTTTAATACTAATTACTATACTAATAAATTGGTTTAATTTATTGCTTAATGCCAAGAAGACCAAATGTGTTAAATTAATTATCTAACTATGAATTATCTAATGTAAAATCGTCTAGTCAGATTAGACTGCATAGAAATAAACGGAGAAAAGTTAGACTTTGTTAATAAAGCAGTCTTCTTGGGAGTGACCTTAGATAGTAAACTTCGATGGTTTTAGTCTTCTAGGGAGTGACCTTAGATAGTAAACTTCAATGGTTTTCACATATATCTTCATAAATAAATGATTCTCTGACTTTGGCATACGAAAACTCTAAAACGAAACATGACGTCATTTACACTAATTCCAGGTCTCTGAGGAAGATATGGAACTTAATGTCGTGAGTGATCATGACGGTGTACCGCTATCGATATCTCATTCACAATTCGGGTTGATACATTGTTATTTAGTTCATTAGAAAGAGATGACTGTATATTGCTAATCTATATTCATTATGATATGTATCATTATGAAGGTATTTGGATTTAAATGCTATTCCATTATTTTTCATTTTAATTATTGTTTAGATATAATTTCGTAGATATACTGTGCTAAAAGTAAAAATAACTGTTTTTTAGCGTAGCTTGTAAAATCATATTCAATATTAGTTTTTTGTTACAATGTAATTATAGAAATAATAAATCAATATAGATAACTGACGGAATAATACTAATTTGCCAGACAAACTCACCTATGACCTGGTCACAAACTAGAGAATTCCCTGTACTATATGTACCAGAGAGGCAGCCAAGATATCCACCTAAAATATCCAGACCATAACTAATCTTGATTTGCATCCGTGGCCGAACGTTTACCATGCTGGACTGTCACACATAGGTCCAGAGATCGATGATTCCCAGGCCGGGAGAAATATTTATATAGCCTACAACTATTTCTCTCGTGAGTTTTGGTGTAATTTGTGGTTGTCTTTGTGTGCGTCCATAGCACCCGCCATACAGGTTTTGGGGCTATGAATGTGTGACTTATTATTATTATTATTTAGACAAAACTTGCCCAAATAGGTCCTACTGGGACAATACCCTGGACCTTCTTATGCAGCATCTACAGCATTAATTGTAGTGCTACCGAGGCTTTCAATGCAATGTATATAACATTATTCATCATTAATGCACATAAATTAAGAAATAAGAGCTTCAGCTTCCGCAACATTCGCGACGTTAGCAGTTTTGTGTTAAGTGTAATTATTTTTGTAATATTTACACTTTTGCTTGCGTTTCCTCTAAGATTTACTTTTCACATCTGTTTCCGTCTCTTTTCCCTCTATGACACTTCCATTGTATCACTAATATATATAGTAGGTAGATATACACTTTATTGCACACACAAATCAAGAACAGTACACAAGCAGCTTAAAACTAATGTGGGCAAATACGGTCTTGACCGGACTATTGCTCTCCGTCTTCGCTCCGGCCACATCCCTTTAAATAGCTATGCATTCATGATGCAGAAAGTTGATTCGCCCGATTGTAACGAATGTGGGATTGTTGAAGACGTGTATCACGTAACAATGGAATGTACTCAACTCAACATTAAAATGTACGATCTCGGTAAGGTTAATAGCCTCTTGGCAGCCTCTAAAGGTATAAAAAATGTGTAGATTAAGAGAGCCACTATAAGGGTGGCATTTGTAAAACCCTCTATAAATAAATAAAGATTTAAAAAAAATGCGGTGTTGTCGCTAAGAGCGATACAATTAACAAATAAAAATACACATTAAATTATAACGAAAAAATTTAGAAATAAAAATGAATTGTATAAGTAAAAAAATAAAAAAGAAAAAAAAAATCTTACACTAATAATTTGTTTTCACCGAAGTGATCAGTGACGTCCATTAGTTTTAGTTTAGGGAGGACATGTTTATAGAGTTTCTGATAGAAACAAAAATGTTGGATGTTTTCAGATATCGCTTGGTCCGATACAACGGCGTCTGGCGAGGCTGCGATATACTGCAGTGGATTATGGACAACACTAGCCACAAAACTCGGTGAGCAAGATATTTCATAATATCGTCTGCTTTAGGGTAAAATCACAAAAGTGATATTTTCCACAAAAAATCTCTAAATTGTGTACCTGTTGTAAGAAAATCACCGTCTTTCTGCAGATAAAACTCTTATTAAGTTTATAGCTTTTTGTTATTGGGTTTCACGTGCAGAAGATAGTGATTTTCTTACCATAACCACTTAAAGACTTTTTGTATAAAATGTAACTTGTGTGGTTTTACCTTTAAACATACCATATACTTAACACATTGCTTCCTTCAATACACAATCATCATTATATGCCCCATATAAACAGCATACGCGAGAATTCCGCGGAAGATTTTGGCTCGTTTCTAGTTTCTATGTTACACAATTGAACATAAAGTTCATTATCCTATGTACAATATCGTTATAAAAAGTAACTTCCATTCCGTTCCGCCGCAATACAAATTGAGCTTAATGCACACATACATTACATTAACTAAATACTGACATAAACAGTCAAATAAATAGAAATTCTAATAAATTAAATGATAATGAAAAATAATGAAAACATATTCAACACAAGCGCAGCTGTTTTGCTCGATTTAAATCTTCGGTTCGCGGAATATGAAATTAATTTACTTCCATTTTTATTAACATGGACCTCCGCAAAGTAATGCTTGACTCTATTAATTACTAATAAATATAATTAAATACAAATGAAATTAATAAAAACAAATAAAATAAAGTAACAAATAATTAAACTCCATTAAAGCGTGCGTTACACAATTTAGATATCTTACATGTATGGTCGTCCATTGGGTTTGGTACTAATTATTATAATTTATTCTGATCTTATTCTAATTACCTTATGATAAATAGTAACAATACAGATGTGGACATATTGTTGAATGCATGTACAAATTTTAGTTTTAATAACATAAATTAATCACTTATATTTAATTTACTTATAAGCCTAATGTGTAAGTTTTGACTCTACTACGAATAGTATTTATCCAAGAATACGCAAGTTATACGCACCTACAAAGAATAAGTATTAATTATATTTATAAGTCTACGGTACTTTACTGTGTTAACTCAAACGTAAATGTTTCTCTCAGGATAAGCGAGATTGGTAGAAGTCACCATTAGTTCCGAAAAAATCCGCTAGATGGCATTGACCCGTTTGATGCGATTTCTGCATCGCGGTGTTAAGATTTTCCCTCGGCGAATGACGTTCGCCCATACATTTAGTGAATTCATACTTACCTGGCACAGGGGATACCGTGATCAAGTAGGCGGTTCCCCCAGGGCGAGGCTTTTCCATTGC